TAAAGATGACACATACATGCTGTAGTTGTTAAATGAATTGTATAATACCCTTGCTATACCATAATCAAAACAAATTGAGTTAAGCTATAAATTTAAATTTGAAAATTGAACATCACTTATACTTGCTGTGGTTTATGTTATAGTCTGTGCACCCCCCCTCCATTCTGATGTTTTCTTGCTGTCACATACAAGTGCAGTACCATTTTATACAAATTAATTATAATTAAAATTTGGCTCATTGAAATTCACACCATTTAGCACTGCCAAAGATGAATTTAAGAAAAAGAGGTGAAAATTTTATGCAAATTTCTGTAATATTTCAGCAGATGATAATTCAAAGAGAGCTAAGAAAATGAAAGGAAAAACACTTCGCTCTTTTCTCGGCAAAAACTCAGGTAGAGTTGCATTTAAATCCAAAAGTTGGATAGCAAGTTAGTCCGTTAGACAGTATTTACTACAGGCTTTTAGTCCAGTGCTGTTAGCAAGCTTAGAGATAGGCAGCACGCCAAGAGTTAGGCAGCACACCCAAAGTCAAGCAACACGCTAAGAGTTAGGCTGCTTTGGAACAGGTAATAAGTCTGCTTTGCATCCTGCTTTTCACAAGTAATCTGCAATTATTAAGAGCATTTCAGTTGCAAAGATCTAGGGATCACTTTATACAAAATGAATAATGGAAAATATTTAATTGTAGGAGTTTCAAACATGAATAATTAATATCTGGACTTGGTAGTTTCCCCTTTTTAATTAATTTCCTGTTTAAGCCAGCAGATCTATATTAGGAATGAGCCTAGAATAAATTTCAGAAGAGAGAGACTCTGACACTGAAAAATTAAAAAATAGTAATTAATAAAATTTAAATTTGCCTGGGAGTTGGTACTACTCTGAATTGAGATCATTAATGCTAGCTCTGTTGCATGCAGGGATATTTTTTCTGTTTTGGGCTATGGCACCTTTGTGTGCAAAAAATGAAGGGCTGTGGGTGTCTTATAAGTTACAGTATCAGTTTTTATGCTATTATCCATGTAATAACTTTTATTGGTTCAGCCGTGATTTTTAGAATTTTTAAAAAAATTTTATTTGCAGCACAAATTAAAAAACATTTAGAACACAAAACATTTATTTAGAACATACTGTTCTTAAACTTTTTTTTTGCTTTCAATTGCTTAAATTGGTAGTTATTATATATATAACATCACTGTATTTTACATGTAGGTAGTTTGATATTAGAACATTTAAAACAGAGCTTAAGCATTAATGATTGACAGTTTTTCTTTTCTATTTTGAACTAATTTTCAACGGTTTGAACAAATTGGTTGTGATATATTATTCCTTTTTAACTTAACTTCGTGTGCCCTTTATCAAATTTTCTAATCTTTATTTATAACTGAAAGCAGTAAGTTGCCACTTATAGCTCTTTAAGTTGTGCTTTTAGTCTTTATTATCTAATATTTATAAGCTAGACCTGTAATATTTCAATTTTTAGCTAGATTTTAGTAGAGATGGTTCATAATGTGTGTATTACTAATTGTAGTTGTAGATTTGGTGTGATATTTTACATGACTTTTTATTGGCTTTTTTATGATGATCTTTTTTGGCCAGTAAGTTAAACCCAACAGAAAATATTCAGAGTATTTTTTTCTTTTGTTTTAGTGAAAAATATGCTGTTGTTAAAGAGAGAGAAAAAAAAAGAAAAAATGAACAGCCTTTTGCAACCCTTGCCTTGAACTTTATGTCAATTTGATATTCAGAAAATGTGTTATAGCTAATGTTGCCCACTTTTATTTTATGCAGCTATATATCCATCATCCTTGTATTTAAACACTAAATAAAAAATTATAATCGGTGTGCAAAAAATATAGAACACTTTAAACAAAAGTATCTAATTTTAATATGAGTTACCCACCTCTTACTTTCAACCCCTACCCCCTTACCCCGTTTATTATAGAAGTGCTGAGTGACATGTTTTGATCTTCTTGTGACCTTGGTGTGACCTTTGTGTCTATTGGTTGATTTTGATGTCGTCTGCAACTCACTGTTGTAGTGAAGCACAATATTTGATTTACTCACATAAATATTTTAATTGATATATTTAAGAAAACAAATTAAGTAGTACTGATATATTGTTTTTGTAAAGGAATTGAATTTTATGAGTTAAATGGAAGTGCTAGTATGAGAAATATATGTCATGCAATTAATAGAGGTAAAAAATTAAGCAGTTGAGATTATTCAAGTCAGTACAGTGTATTTGCATCTGTAAACATCCTGTTAAATGTGAACAAACTTTTAAAAAGGGTCTAATTAACAACCAACTCCTGACCTTAAGATTTTATTTTGTTCCCACAGATTCAGGTACCAAAAAATCCAAAAGTAAAAGTACATTTCAACGCAGTGAAGAAATAGGAACCATTCCCCCAGGTAACCTTGGTGGCATGGGTAGCCATGGTGACCAGATGGCGATGATGCTAGGTCATGGGTCACAGTCACCTCTCCGAGGGCGTATGATCAAGCAGGCCAGCAAGGACTCCACTGATGGAAGTATTGGGAGTATTAGCAGTGATTCATCTTCGTAAGTACTGGGAACTTTTTAATTGTATTTGCAAGGTAGTAAAGGAAACTTTTAGAAAGAAACAGCAAATAGAGAAATATGTACCATCAGGAATGAAACTGACTGGCCACTGTCTCAATTCCAAGAGTGATTCAGTAAGTAGATCATAGAATTCAAAAACTTGGGTCTGAACAGTAATTCTTGGCTCAGTTAAAGGTATGGTTTCTCTTGTATGTTTGTTGTTAATTGTTGGAAATATTGAAGCAATGAGTTTGCAGGAGTTTGCAAGAAAAAATCTATTGCTGCTAATTTGCAGCCATGTTGCAGCATATTTGCAAGAAGAAATTACAGTTTGCAACAATATTGCAGCTAATTTGATGTAAATTTGCTACGAATTTGTGGCAGGCCTGATACATGTAAGTTGCTAAGGGAAGTTATGAACAATTTTTACTTCAGGATGTGGCTTCCCCAAGGCATGAGAGTGGGCCCAGAGGGTCAATTTGGGGACTTTGTGGACAATCTCGGACCTGGTCAGTTAGTTGGCCGACAGGTGTTGGGGCTGTCCTGTCTGGGTGATATCCAGCTCAGTCTCAGCGAAAAGAAAGGTCACTTGGAGGTTGAGGTCATCAGGGCGAGGGGCTTGCAGCAGAAAAGTGGGGCAAAGATATTACCAGGTAAAGCCAGTAGGGTGAATAAACATTGATTTGACTGTGCATACACACCAGTCCATATGACACCACAGACTGTGTCAAAATTTAAAGCCTCTTAAGGTGTGAAAGTACGTGGGCTAGTGTTATATAGAATTTTGTTTTTATATGCCTTTATAGGTGAGCAGTTGCCTCTCATAGATTTATCTTACATAGTTAGAGCAAGTTCATTTTGAAGGTCTATCAATACCTTCTTGCTTGTCGACTGCATGGTTTCATGCAGTTACTCTGCTGACTTGATCACATCTTCAAGCAAAAGTGATGGGATACCATAATTACTGAATGTACTTTATTTTTCATCAGAACTGTTAAAATAAAAAAAGCAGCATGTCTGTTATTGAACAGAAAGGTTAAGGATATACTACACATAGGTTATTCTATTAGCAGTCACATGTACAAAAAACTGAACTACTACCTTATAGTTCAACTGCAAAGTCATACCTTAACCAGCAAGTACAGTTGTATAAACTATAGGCAAACTATGACAAGATGGCAGACAAGATTATCATTTTTCGTTCTATTTTCAGCCCCCTATGTGAAAGTGTACTTAATGGAAGGAAAGAATTGTGCTGAGAAGCAGAAGACCATCATTGCCAGGCGAACACTGGATCCTCTGTATCAACAACAGATTGTTTTCAATGAGGATTATCATGGGAAAGTAGTTCAGGTAGGAGAGGGTACAGATGATTTTGTTTTCAATGAGGATTACCATGGGAAAGTAGTTCAGGTAGGAGAAGGTACAGATGATTTTGTTTTCAATGAGGATAACCATGGGAAAGTAGTTCAGGTAGGAGAGGGTACAGATGATTTTGTTTTCAACGAGGATTACCATGGGAAAGTAGTTCAGGTAGGAGAGGGTACAGATGATTTCGTTTTCAATGAGGATTACCATGGGAAAGTAGTTAAGGAAGGAGAGGGTACAGATGAAGATTTAGGCCCAATTTTTTGTTTTATACTCAGGGGAGGGTCCAGAGATATTTCATGACATTCTTCAAGTTATCTTTGTTGATCTATCCTCCATTTTTGACCCGTCTTCTGACAGAAAAAATTAGATACCCGTCAATGTAAACTTGAAAATCTGACCGTCTTCCGGAAGACCCACAAGACAGTCTTAATCCATCCCTGATACTGGTATATGATACAAATGTAAGACTAAAAGTTTGNCGAGGATTACCATGGGAAAGTAGTTCAGGTAGGAGAGGGTACAGATGATTTCGTTTTCAATGAGGATTACCATGGGAAAGTAGTTAAGGAAGGAGAGGGTACAGATGAAGATTTAGGCCCAATTTTTTGTTTTATACTCAGGGGAGGGTCCAGAGATATTTCATGACATTCTTCAAGTTATCTTTGTTGATCTATCCTCCATTTTTGACCCGTCTTCTGACAGAAAAAATTAGATACCCGTCAATGTAAACTTGAAAATCTGACCGTCTTCCGGAAGACCCACAAGACAGTCTTAATCCATCCCTGATACTGGTATATGATACAAATGTAAGACTAAAAGTTTGTCTTGGGGTGCTTTCCCAGAGATTTAGATCGATCTAAAGATTAAGTTTTAGATCGACCCAACTCCCTGGGGGTTCACGCTAAATTGCAGTCAGCTGAGCAGGCACCACAGTTAATTACCCCCTTACAGCTTTTAGTAGGCGGGACAGACGCTTAAGCCGACCAAGCTGACAGTAATCTAGTAAGACTCCCCACAGGGATAGATCGATCTAAAAATTTATGGAAATGGGGTGTTAATCTCAGAATTGATAATTCTGGTCATCTGAACCCAAGATTACTTCATTGCAGTTAACCCAAATGAATTGGCCAATGTTTTCCTTATTTTATCCTTAGATTGTTATACAATGTTTGGATTCACTTGTTAGCCTTATATTCCATCGCATTTTAATTTTGCATATCCCAGCTTGAATATATTTGCCTACTAGTTAGTATATATATGACATTGACCTTTAAGTATGTTATATTCATGAATCTCGACATGCATATTTTCCAGTCCCAGAGAGTCCAAATTATGTAGTGTGTATTGTATTATATTAACATACATTAAATATTTCCTTGCTATCTTCCAGGTCACAGTTTGGGGCGATTACGGGAGAATGGAACGCAAAGTATTCATGGGCGTGGCTCAGATTTTACTGGATGATTTAGATCTGTCAAACATTGTGATTGGTTGGTATAAACTGTTCCCTGCCTCCTCATTGGTCAATGCAGGCAGTAGTGGGAGTGGCGGTGGCAGCGGTGGGTCAACTCGACGTAACTCTTCCTCCTCTTTGGACAGTCAATATAATAGCGCCTCTAGTTCAGTCAGGTGATGTTGTGACTTGGCGCAGCAAAGGGGGTAAAACAGGGTTGCC